GGTTAAGTGGTTGGAAGTAGATGCACCTATCAGAGTGCTGGGGGTGATGCTCACAGCTAAAGGGAAACCAATTTCTAACGATGTCTGGATTACAACTCCTGCAACACAAAAAATGAAGCAATGGAAAAATTTACATACTTCCCTGTTTGGCAGAGCTTTAGTTATTAATAATGTAATCCTAGCTTCAATCTGGTATAAGTCTGTCTTATGGGCTCTTAACAAGAATTCTACTAAGAACCTCAGGGGGCAGCTTACGAATTTCTTATGGCGAGGCAACCACGAGACACCTCATGTGATCCCGAGAGTGGCATGGCAGGTTCTCATACAACCTAAAGCCAAGGGAGGTCTAGGTATTTTGGATCCAATGATACAATGCCAAACACTGACTCTTCAATGGGTTAAACGTTTAATTTTTTATATGAATCTCCCTTGACATTCTTTGGCATTGGAGCAAATACGTAGATTGGCTCCACAAACCACAAGTAATGTACACCCGCTAACTTGGGTAGAGGATAGATATTGGGCTATTCCTAGACCCAAGACACACTCGGTAAAGGAAGGAGAAAGGGGGGAGGCTCGAAGAGATATAGTGCTGGATTATTTTTGGGTGAACATATTGAAAATCTGGCGTAAATTACCCATACCTAATAGTTCACCTCCCTCTAGGTATGAAGAGGTACTTCGACAACCAATTTTTGGTAATAGACGGATTACGGATGCACAAGGAAGGGTGTTTATAAGCTCCACATTCCCATGGTCCACCTGGGTGAAACATGGTATAATTCGGATTAAATACTTATGGAATTCAGGGAATAAAAGTTGGAAATCCGTAGAACAATCAAGGAAAGAAATTAAGTATGCATATAAGTTGTAGGAAAATCTGGAGGTTATTACTTCATCCATTCCTCTAGCTTGGTTAGCCACCTTAAAGAAAGGGCTTGTATTCTGCATAAGAGATTGGGTATGTGCACATCTACTGGAGGGATCTAGGGTGGTGGGACAGATACTGGATATTCACACAGATGGAGCCCTAATAAAGTGCAGAAGTTACAATCTTTATCTGTCAAAGCTTGATATAGATTTTTACGTCCGCGGGTAGATGTTTTTGCAGTATTACAAGAACGGTGGGCAAAACATCTGAATGTTTCAATAGATTTGCTTAGACCAACCAAGTGGTGCCAAGGATTCAAGGATAGACCGACCAAGTTTGCTTCACTTCAATAGCAGATTGCACAGCGGTGTTTGCCTACTAACGACTGGTTGATTGATCATTCCACATTGGAGCAAAGGGGGGGTGCTCTGCCATGGTGTGTTGGATGCATGGAGACGTTTCCCAATAGAAAGATAAGGGAAACAATTGAACATATTTTTTTACAATGCCCAGGGGCAAAGCTATTGTGGAGCCGTTGGGATTATGTTTGGAATAGGCTAACGGACCTTGATTGGCCATGGGATTGGAGGGCGATACTCTTGGGACACTGGTGCCCTGTCCTCTTCCAGTTATCCAATTTTCAACAAAACTTGTTTAGCATAGGAAGGAAATCATTACTATGGGTGTTATGGTATAGAAGATGTGTTTACACAATGGAAAAGGTAAGAATTGATGGCAAAGAAATATCTGAATTAGTACAACAACAGGTGGAAACGGAGGTTAGATATCAATGGGAAAGAACTAAAAAAGGGATTAATACGTTACACCAAAAACAGGATATAAAAAAAAAAATACAAATTTTCACAAAGGACTGGCTGGGGGATTCTCCAAGAGGGAAATTGGGGAATGTGGTATGGCCAGGTGAGGAGGAGGTTGGGGCAATAATGAAGAGGGATTACAAGATCATCTTCCATGATTGGTTTGATATCCAGCCAGGTGCCTTTTTGAGAACTCCATAATTTTTCCCGGATCCCTTTCCCCCTTCGGACCTGGCATTGGTGGATCTTCAGTGGTATGGGGGGGGGTAGACTGATGGTTTTATATTCAAGATCAATAGCCAAAAGTATCTTAGGGGTTCATTAGGATGGGATGGAAGGAATGGGCTGCTAGTGGAAAAAGTAGTAATATGGCGGCATGTTGATGCTGAAGAGGTAGCTCTCTTTCTGACACAGCAATACTTTGTATTATGTTTCAGCCAAGACTATGTATGAGGGACGCTGGACCTGGTTTCCAGCAGGTGCAGCTCCCCACCAATAGAATGGAGCCAGTACCCGAGCTACTAGTGGTGGGTGGTCGTATCACTATCACTAGTAGCTAAGGCTTTTAAAAAAAAAAAAAAAAACTTTCACTCAAACCCTGGCATCCTCAATTTTGATACGGGTTGGGCACCCCAAACTAAACTTTCACCCAATCCCTTTTTCAAACTTTTTTACTCGTCTGATTCCCTCGATCGGGTGGCCGCTTGCCAACCAAGCCGATTGGCGCAGCCATTGGCCTGACAACTTTAAATGACCCTACCTACTATTTTTATAATTGCCTTGAGTGCGTGACTGGGGATTATATCAGTTTTGTTCCATGTCCAAACACTCTACTTGACTAAACGGTAACCCGTAGTTATGTGTACATGTCGTCGCCGTGTGCTATAGATCCTTGCGGCACAGTTGGCCTCTAATAACTACACACCCCACCATATCAGGACACTCACATCGTCTAACTTGCACTTGCTTCCTCGGTTGCGGGTACAAGTTACCAAGGGGCTAATGTCCCCGCTCCCTTCACTTGAGACCAGTAACTTTCTTTCAAAGGACCACTCGGGCTGCTTGGCTGTACTTTGGGCTTCACCACAATACTCCCAAATGTGGCTGTTTATGGAAGTGCAGCATCGCCACACCAGCTCTCGAATTTGATATGTGATCGAATTCAGGAGCTGTCAGAATTTCACTCCCGAGAGCACCCCCGAAACCACAGCCTGCAAAGCTGCATTTTTGGGAGGGTTCTTTCAGACCTCCGAGTTTCATCCAAGCTTCCCGAGTGGAGCTCAAAGTGACAAACAGACTTTGGTCAGACTGCTTCCCATGGAAGGTGTCCGCTTGTGGCAGCTGTCATTTCTAGACTTGGAGAGCGGCCAGTTCGAGAGTGCAGTGTGGCGAAAAGGCACTCTCGAATGGGATTTCGAGTTGGGGAGCATTCCCCAACCTTTTCTAGAACTCGAGAGTGGTGTGGTGAGGCCCTTTGTACTACCTGCTTGGGTATTTGCTCCAACAACGCCATCGTTGTCTTGTCAAGGTCTGTTCATGTTCATGGGTGTACCGCTCAGCCACATGGGCTGGGTTGAAGCTGGTTTTGCCTCCATTTGACTGATGTTAGAAGAGTATGATGACCAGGATTGAGTACAGTAGTGGCACGACCAGGTCAGGGAATGCTAGTGGATTATCCAGGGGTGAAAGGAGCCATGAAGCAGATGAGGGCCACCCTAATGACAAAAAGAGATTATGGCCAGCTCTAGAATCCCAGAATTTTGCTGGTGTTGTCCACTTCAAGGCTTTGGACCCTTCGCTAGTGGTTTTCAGAAAGTCGGACCTTTTTCTCCTAGGTGCCTTCGGGCCGATCCCACAACTAACTACACTACGAATGTAGACGTGAAAAATCACTTCGAAGATGTCAGCGGCCGTGGCGGGGCAAAAAAGAGAAAAACTGGATCCCACCAGGCCGACTTCTTTGGTGGTCTTCCTGGACCCGCGGCGGTTCTTTWTGGGATGTTATAGAGGACACACATTTTTTCGTGGTACGGGTTGTCGTCCGCCAACCGACATCTCACACAACATTATGGTCCTCGGGCATTCCTAATGCTGCAAACGGACAAGCGAGAAAAAAAATAAAATAAAATAAAATAATTGCTCCCTCTTTTTCGAGGCTGAGAAGCCCTCACGAGGCCGGGACCCACATGCACCGTGTAGTTGTAGTTTTCTACAGTGTGCTACGTGTTGGGGGGCAGGAAAATCCAGAAACCTGCTTGGCTGTCAGCGGGCGTGGCGTCTGGTGGTTGGTGGCCAACCTCAATTCGAATCATCTTCCGTTTTCTGGTGGTAAAATCACGGTAAAATCCCTCCATAACTTCAAAGTGGCGGTAAAATCATGGACTTCCCGCCAAAACAATCAACGAGGTCGTTGTTGTTAGCAATCGCACTTTTCTTGGAATAGCTTTCCACCACGCAGAACACGGCCTCGCCTCCTCCCAAACCACGTCTCAGCCTATACAAATGTCTGAAACACTTGGAAAACCCGTGCTCTTCTCATATTTGCGCAGGTTGACTGTGCGCACGTCCGATCCGGGCCCATCATGCATCCAGGATTCGCCGCCCGCAGCTGCCCAAGGCCACCCACTGCCGCCCAACTAAACCACACGGGCATGTGGGTCCCGGCCCACGGTCTACACGAGAGTTGTAGTAACTACGTTTGCGCCCCCCATGAGAGTTGTAGTAACTACATTTGCGCCCCCCTTCGCGGACGTGCTGCCACGACACACCCAAACGAAAGTGAAGCAAAATATTTCGGCGCTCGCCGTCCGAAAGTGGTGGGATCTCAAAACTACACTGTAAAAAACAAAAAAAAAATCAAACTACACTGTAATTGGGCTGTAGTGTAGTGGTGGGATCAGCCCCGTAGCTACCATCTTCCCCGAACACAACGCACCCTCATTTTGGACGCACCTGACCCGAAATATTGGCTTACATATAAATTTATTATTATAAATTTATTATGAGGGTGCGTTATGTTGGGGGGAAGCTGGTGATGGTTTCAGATAATTATTATGAGCGTGCGTTATTATGAGGGTGCGTTATGTTGTGGGGAAGCCCTTTTGTCCAGGTTAAGGTGTTGGACCCCTTCCCTACTGGTACTGGTTTTCGGAAACTCGGTCCCTTTTTTGTCCTGCGTGGGTCTCTGCGATCGCTCCTACTCCTACTCCCGCCCCTTGCCCGCTCCTACTGGTGATGGTTTGCCCTCAACACGCTGACCCGCCTTTCGGTCACCATGCGGGAGTTATGACCCGTATGACCCGTATGCCCCGCCAGTTTTTTGTCCGTTGGACTTGTTGGATTTAACGGGAGGATCAACTTTGAACCAGGTTTGGACAGGTGGAACACGCTGAAGGGCGAGGGTCGGACTTTGAACGAACCGGGGTTGGACAGCTGGAGCGAGTAGCACGGCGAAGATCAGACTTCTTACCAGGTCCGCGCAGCTGGAACAAGCAGCAGAGGGGGAGGAGAAGGCTTTGCACCAGGTTTGCCTTGCTGGAACAACAAGAAGCAAGGTGACCCGCATGGCGCAAATGTCGCACGGTGCACAGCATGGTGGCTGGGCGGCTGGGAGAGCGATGGGTAGAAACCAAGGAAGGAAGGGTGGGGGGATGGGGCCATGGCAGCGGGGAGCGAGCAGACGCAGGAAAACGCGCACTTTCATTCTCATCTTTTCAACTTGCTTTTTGGTCTTTGCGTGGATCGCTGTCCGTCGGATCTTTTCCGAAGGTATGATCCACGGTTACCATCGCAATGTGATGAATTCTAACATCGCTACCGGTAGTGGGGAGACAGATAACGATGTGAAAACGGAGAATGTGAAAACGGAGAATGTGGAAACGGAGAATCGAACACAGGGGGGTCAGTCAATCAGACTCTTTCTCTCTTTACCCGTCCTTCCGCTCTCTCTCTCTCTCTCTCTCTCTCTCTCTCTCTCTCTCTCTCTCTCTCTTTACCCGTCGGATCTTTACCCGTCCTGCCGCTCTCTCTCTCTCTCTCTCTCTCTCTCTCTCTTTTTCTCTTTTTCTGTGTCTTTCTCTCTATTTCCCTGTGCCCTCCTTTCTTTCTGTCCATCTCCTTGCCGCTGTCTCGCCCCTGACGGCTTCTGTCTCTCTGTTCTTTGCAAGTACTACTTTCGTAACCCGAATAGAACGCCCGGTCATTATCGCTGCATCTGGACGGAAAATTGCTCCCAATACAGCTATAATGACCGGACGTTCTATTCGGCTGAAGACGGTAGGGGTAGAGAGTGGAGAATCGAACACGGGGAAGTCAGTCAATCAGACTCTTTTTCTCTTTACCCGTCTTGCCGCTCTGCTCGTCTCTCGCTCTTTCCCTGTCTTTCTCTCGATATCCGTGTGTTGTTCTCTCTCTAGGCCTCTCGCTCCAATCCTCTGCATGTATCTGGATAGTGCCCTTGACCATATACATTTTAACTCGTCCAAGAATTTGAATGCACCAGGACCATTTCCAGCTCCATATACGTTTAGAAAGTTGTGCAGTGGAACGAGGCCGTTTCTCTCTATCTCCTTGCCTTCTTCCCTCCCTCTGTCTCCCTGTCGCCTTCTCTCTGTCTCCCCCTTGTCACGTTCTGTCTCTCTGCATTCTCTTCAAGTACTACCATCTTCACTCGAATAGAACGCCGGGTCATTTTCGCCGGATCGGGACTGAAATTTGCATCAAATACAGCTGTAATGACCGGGCGTTCTATTCGGGCGAAGACGGTCGGGAGTGGAGGATGTGCTGGGTCCTCTGCATTCCTGCGGCCTCAATGCACTACCTTCTTCCCCCGAATACAACGTACGGTCATTATAGCGGTATCTAGACTGAAAGATGCCTCAAATACAACTACAATGACTGTACGTTGTATTCGGGGGAAGAAGGTACTCAACCTAATTTATGAAGTCACGAATGTATGATTAGGTCGAAGGTGGAAAGATACACGTGATTGTTTTTTTTTTTTTTTTTTTCCGGATTTGGAGCGCGATTTTTCCATGCACTGGATGCACGATGACGACTGTGCTACCTTCTTCCTCCGAATAGAACGTACGGTCGTGTTCGCTCTATCTGGACAGAAAGGTGAGCCTGTTCTATTGGGGGGAAGACGGTAGCTCTCCTCCTCTCCCCTGCCTTTTGATCTCTCTGTCTCTCTCTCCATCGCTGGGTTTCTCCCTCTCTTTCTCCCGCTTTCTCTCTCCTCCCCTCCTCTCCCTGTGTCCCTCTGTCCCTCCCTCTCGCCCTCCCTGTCTCCCTTTCCCTCGCTGCTTCCGTCCTCCCCCCCCCCCTCCCGTCCCCTGGTCTCGGTGTGCAGTCTCAATTGCGTAGGTCACGTCCTTACCCCTTGTGGCTTCCCTCTCTTTTCCTTCTCTCTCTCTCTCTCTCTCTCTCTCTCTCTCTCTCTCTCTCTCTCTCTCTCTCTCGCTCGCTCGCTCGCTCGCTGTCTCCCCCCTCTCCTATCATCCCTATCTTGTCTCTGCTCCTCCTTTCCTCTATTTTTTCCTTTTCACTGCTTCTCTCCCGTCACACAGTCTCTCCTCCCCTCTGTCTCCTCTCTCTCGCTCTCCTCATCTCTCTCCCTCTCTCTTTTCCTCCCTTTTCTCCCTCTCTTTCCCCTTCTTCTTCATCTTCTTCACATCTGATGCGAACTGCGAGCGAGCAAGCTAGCGAGAAATAGTTAGATAAATAGATAGATAGATATACATATACATATACGTGTATACATGTATGTAAACAGGCACAGAGAGAGAGAGAGAGAGAGAGAGAGAGAGAGAGAGAGAGAGAGAGAGAGAGAGAGAGATGCTTATGTGTTTGTTTGGATTTGTGATGCAGGTGAAACGTCCGAAGCGCTTAAGGATCAAAAGGTATCGCCTGAAAGGCTCAGCAATCTGGGCAATATGGATATGCCAACGCGCTCCGTCAATGGCAGTCGAAAACGTAGGGCATCTCGCTCACTCATCCTTTTCCTATCCTCCTCCGTCCTGAGCACTGGCGCTTTCAAAATGAGACAAGAAAAAAGACAAACTTCAAAAGACAAAAACGTCGAAAAGACGAAGAAAACCAACACTTTTAATTATTCCCCCTCCCCCCCTGGAGATTTCCCACCATTCTCTCCCCCGCCCCTCCCCCCCCACCCCCTAACACGAATACACGCTCATACACACACATACCCAGACATACACACACACACACAGACACACGCATACCCACACACATACACACACACACACACACATACCCACATACACACACATACACGCACATACACACACATACACACACATACACACACATACACACATACACACACAAATACAGACTGGTTTCTCAGACTTGCTGCCATTCTTATCAGGGGTTTGGACGGACAGTCTACTAGGCTTGCAGGGTTGGTGCGAGTAAAGTCGATCACTTTTCTCAGGGGTATCATTAACTCTGGTTAACGTGGTGAGTCCTTATCCATCAGTTAAATGCATCCTGGACAGACTGTCTGTGCAGGTTCCACCTCCTGATGAGTCGGTGAAAGTCCGATGAAACAGTCTGGCACAGGCATGCTCTTTTTTCTTAATGGAGTTGTGTCGCGAACATGACAACACACTCTCACAGACACACACACACACACACACACACACACACACACACAGGCACAAGCACACACACACCCTCCTGATGATCAAGCCCGGCTGGTGAACCCATATGCCGGACAAACCGTTTAAACCACTAGTACCTCCGGCCCTGTTTTTGCCGACCCTGAATTTCATAGTGCTCCGAGTTTTGCCGAGCCTGGGTCCCACTCCATTTTCATTATGGTACTCTCAAGAGAAGAAAAAAAAAAAAAGAAAGAAAAAAAAGTTGGGGGCGTGAAACTCACAAAACAAGAAAGCAAAAACAAACAAACAAAGCTCTGGCCATGATTGCTGTTGTAGACATTCTTGGAAGTGGTAGTGTGAGTGTGCCCTCAGTGAGGGCATCTCAGTCCCGTGGCCAGATTGTCAGTTTGCAGGAAAACAAAACAAGAACAAAAAAACGGAAACATGGATTCGGCCGTGAGAATGGCTGGATACATTCTTCTAAGTGCCAGTGTGATCAGGGTTACAATCCTCCGAGGAAACACAGCTTGAGCAGATCACGGATGCAGATTGTCAGATTCCAGATCACCAAACAAGAAAAAAAAAATGAAAACACTGATTCAGCCGTGAAAATGGATGGATACATTCCTCTAAGCCAGGGTTACAATCCTCTGAGGAAACACAGCTTGAGCAGATCACGGATTCCGCCCTGCTTCGTTGGCAGGGAACTCATAGCAAACTCACGAGAAATAAAAAAAAGAAAACAGCAACTTTGAGAATGTGAGCGTGTTTGCTAGTAAGATGCATTCTGAAGAGGAAGACTGTGAGCACGGCCTCCTAGACTACTCTGCCCGACATCATTGCAGTACAGAAAGCTTTCTTTATTTTTTCCTTTATCTTTTACGCACGGGCAAAAGAAAACTAAGATTTATGGGACTCGCCGACCCTGGGTCCCACCCCTGAATTCTTCGGGAACTGGCAAAAACTCGTAATTTCCCAACACCGGCAGAGGTACTTGTGGTTTAAGCAAACAAAAAGAGCAAAGAAAAAGAAAAAGAAAAAGCAAAAAACAAGAAACAAACATCCGAGGAAACAGTCTGGCTCAGTCATGTGCAAGGAAAATGAGCAATAGCGAAATGACAGAAATCCCAGAGTGCAAAATCACATTGAAAGCCAGCAAGTCCAAAAACTGTCCAGAAAGCAGTAATGCACTGATATTCCACCAATGGAGAAACAAAGCACTGAATCCGAATGTCAATGAGAGCATACTCTCTCCACCTCCAACATATGTATCCAGAGTCCTTCCTCCTACTTGGTGCTCAGCGCCCAGACTACGATCACACAACTTACTAGCAACCTACAAATTGATAATCCATCCGGTTGACGTCAGCAGCAAAACCGAAGTACATGAAGATGTTGACCCTTGTAGACCATTGCCAGGACGAGTGTTACATGCTGCGCCTGCAACATGCTGCGCCTGAAATGAGGGCCATTTTCAGGCCCTGTGTTGTTTTCAGCCTAAAAGCCTGAAAACAAGGGCCTACAGACCCTGTGTCGTTTTCAGCCTAAAAGCCTGAAAACAAGGGGCCTACAGGCCCTGTGTCGTTTCAGCCTGAAAGCCTGAAACAGGCCCTGTGTCGTTTCAGCCTAAAACAGGACCCTCCGGGCCCCGAGTCTTTTCAGCCTGAACAGGAGGGCCATTTTCAGGCCCTCATAAGATCGACCTGCCTTGAAACTTAGGCACCAGACCAGGGTTTTAGCACAGGCCATTTTGGGCCTGTTTTCAAGACAACCTTTGTTTGAGCTTCAACGCCAGGGTCTGGCACGTTTTGGCATTGGCAAGAGCAGCCTCCTGGCTGGGCCAGCACTATATAAGACTGGCCCGCCCTCCAGGCTGCAGGTAGTTCATAGGGACTTCTCAGGCACTTCACGTGCAGTTCAGGAGGCAGGAGGTAGTCTTCAGGATTCGGCAGCATCACTCTGGAGGAGCGCTGCAGTAGTAGTAGTAGCGTTAGCAGTAGTCTTCAGCGCTGGGCGCTAGTAGGAGCTAGAGTAGTACTGGAGAGAGAGAGATTGGGCGGAGGCCAGGGAGACTTACTTGCAGCGCCATAGCTCCAGCTTCGTATTCGAGGTACCTGCAGCACAGCGCCATCTTCACATGTTAGTACCTGACACATGGGAGAGAGAGAGAGTTCTTCTTCTTCCTCTTCTCAGTCCACCATCTCCCTCTCACTCTCTTGCTACCTGACTTCACTGCATCAGCAGACTACGAGAGAGCGGGATTGGTGACATTTGGACCCAGACTCGACATGGGGCTGCAGACATTTTGACGAGGGATTATTTGGGACTTGTAACGAAGACTTGGTGTTGACGACATTCCCATCTCCCCCCCCTCTTGTTCGTCTGATTCCCTCCTCTTCGTTTGTGCATGATCTGGACCTGGCACATTCTTCCTGTGTGTAGCGCCAGGCCCCTTCACACCTTGTGATGAGGATGATGTATGTTTGCTCTGCATTGTGACATTGATTGGGCTAGTCATTGGTATTCTAGCATTGCACTACGCTGTCTTGTACTACGTGAGGGAGGTTAGTCCCGGTCAGGTCGGGACTTATATCTAAGTCTTCTACTGCGCTACAAAGAACCATTTTTGTATGTATCAGGATGTACACTGCGTGTTGAGATTCCACTAGCATTGCATTTGTCCATTCAGTCCTTTTCATTACATTGCGGATCCTTGGCTATATATGGACATTGCCCAACTGGGCACGTAGCAACCAGGTACGTGCCCTCACATCATCAACCCCATTGCTCTCTCTCTCTCTCACCCTTGACTTCATCACCCACGTCTTCTCCCTCTCACACAAAGACCACCGCCACCTCACGCTGATTGTCCAAGCCCAAGCCCGGCTACGTGGGTTGGGCTATGGTGCTGCCCTCAACAGCGCCCTGCTAACCGCACGACCTCACGTGCGCGCGCGCACTTGCCATGCACTAGTGCAGCAACACGCGAGCGCAAACTGTAGCAGCGCTGCCGCATCGGCATGCAAGTGCTCGATCCCCCGTCGCTGAGCCTGCCACTTTCCTATATCGAAAGTGGCAGGTGCTCGCCCTGCCTTCCCCATGCGAGCAAGTTTCCAGTAGCTTCAGTCTCAGCCAAAGTGTCTGCGCCCAGGCATGTTCAGACAGTGGCCTGGGACCGAATTGGTTAGGCATGCCCAACCACCCAGGCTCAAATGTGGGATGCTCCCTGCTTTGGCCACGTTGTTGGAAGGGCCTGGAAGCCTCATGAATATTTTGGGCTCTCACGAGCAGGGCGGATGTAGCCAACTGGCGTGTGGCAACTGTCTGGCGCCGACCAAGATTTGCAAAAATTGTCGAGTTCAGGACACATATAGATTCAGGGGGCCCGCCTTCACTTAGGGCGGGCATGCGCCTGCTGCAGGGCCCTATGCCGAGGCAATAACCCTCACACTCCCTCCTCCTTTACTTCGATAGTCCTTTGAGAAGTCGTTACAGAGCAGGCTGCTTCCCTTTCAAATTTCGTACGTAGCTTGAGATAATTTGGGGAGAAGTGTTCATTAGTTCTTCTCTTGTGAACCACTGATTTTCTTTAGGATCCGTATGGTGTCTGAACCGCACTCGGTACTGCATCTGTGGTTTCGGAGGGCGTCCCCTACTTGGAGGCTTGGGCACAAGCATCAGCTTGTGCTCAACAATGTCGTTGATGTCCACGTGTCCATCCATGGTTGGGGGTAGCATAGATCATCTTGAGGGTAACTGCTCAGTTTCAGCGAAAGGTGTCAACTTGGAGGCATGGAAAACAGGGTGTGTGCGGAGGTGACGAGGGATGCGAATGACATATGGACCATCTGGTTGATCTCCCTCTATATCTAGGATTTCCGAGGGTCAAAAGTACTGTGGAATTGATTTACGTGAGATTCCCAACTCCTGTTCCAACTCAGATGACTTTACACAAATTCTTTCACCTACCTGAACTGCAGACTGTCGTCTGTGTTTGCTCTGAGATACAACCATGGCATCTTGAGCTTTCTTGATGTGCTCTAGAGCTTGCTGCAACATCTGCTCATATTTGATAGCGAACTCTATGCTTCCAGGTGCTGCAGTTGGCTGATTTTCAGGTAACGGAAAGTCAAGAGCAGATCTGGGCTTCCAACCAAGATGCAGCTGGTTGGGGGTCTTATCGGTGGTGCTGTGCACAACATTGTTATACAGGCTGGCGATGAGAGGTAACCTCTCATCCCAATCATCTTGACTTGGCTTAATATAATGCCAAAGCAAGTGCTGCACTACCCGGTTTATGTGCTCGCCCTGTAAGTTTGACTCAGGGTGGTTCCCCGATGTAATTTGCAGTCGGGTGCCCATCTGTTGGGCTGTACTTTGCCACAGTTTGCTAGTGAATCTAACATCCTGGTCGCTCACAATAGACTTAGGTAGGCCGAAGTCACGTACCCAGTTGTCCATGAATAGCTTGATGACGTGGTCAGTCCTAGCGGTCTCAGGCATGGCGATAAGTTTAGCGTACGTATTGAACCTGTCCACAATGATGAAGACGTGTCTCTTACCGCTCTTGCTAGTCACAAGAGTATCCATGAAGTCCATGGACACTCTTTGACCAGGTCCAACAGGGATAGGCAAGGGCTTGATAAGCCCAAGCGGTGCCTGTGTCCTTGGCTTGTCACGTTGACAAACCTGACAAGTCTCGACATATGTTTTTGCATCGTCCATCATTGTGGGCCAGTAGTAAATTTGCTGCTGTCGTTTCATACCGAAAATGTTCGGTTGCATCGTGAAATTCACCTAAAAATAGATTGCTCAAAGACTCTCTACGCGGAACACACAATAGTTTATTCCTAGCCTTCTCAAGGAACAACAAGCCATCAACCAACACAAACTCGTCGGAAGTAGCCTTGTCTTTAGCTTCCAGGTTGCGAATGATCTCAAACATCACGGCGTCCTCTCGATAGGCTTCCACCATAGATAAAGTTACATTGTCCGATTTTCCAAACTCAGTCACTAGCGCGCCCAAATAGTCTGCCCTTCGCGATAGTGCGTCGACCACTTTGTTGTACTCTCCCTTTAGAGGGTCGAGCTTGAAGTCATACATGTCTATGACTTCAATCAACCTCTTGAGTGTCAGAGAGCACGGGCTGTCTTAAACCACCAGTACCCCGCCCAACCAAACTTTTTGCTCGACCTGAATTCATGGAAGGCCTGGGCAGGGTCGGTAGAGGCTAGGTAGAGCCTTGACAGAGCTATGGTGGTCGTTTGTTTTGAAAACGAGAAGCAACGACCAGTGAACACAATATCATGATTTCTCACAATGAAAAAAAAAAGTAGGAAGAAAAAACAGAACGTTTGTCCTTTGTTCATGTGGTGAGGAGTGAGGGTACTACTAGTGTTGGCTTGTACAAAAAAGAAAACCTCCGAGACAAGGGGGGAAAAAAAAACTGCCCTGAAAACGGCACGTCCTGCCCCTGAAAATGGCGCGTTTGACAGGCTGCAAGTCCGCCGCCTCCAGTTGTTCAAAGTGGGAATGCATCTTGTGCCATAACTTGGAACAATACAGAGGCCCAAGGCAAGGATGACACACATAAATTGAGGTATGGTAAAAAAAAAACAAGGAGGGTACAAGATACACTCTGTCCACATGAGAATGAACTTTGCTGCGTAACTCGGAACGATACACAGCATGACCATGGACACGGATGACACAGATGAATAGAGATATGGTCCCCCCCCCAAAAAAAAAGGAAAAGAATGACAGCGCCATCACATAACGTTTGTCTTTTGTGCATGTGGTGGGCAGTCAACAAGGTCCACCATCCTACGAGATTTGCCTAGGGCCGACATGCACAAGAGGCAAAAATCATGGCTGTGTATATTTCCACTGTTCTAGCGAAAGATTCATCCCTCTTTTGCACATTTGGTAAGTAGTGGAGAAAAGCCCTTAGGCCCGGCACCAATACCCTACGAGCCACCTTCACGTGCTCAACGTGCTCCTCTACAGTTCTACTAAAGATAAGGATATCATCGAGGTACATGACGATAAACTTGTCTAAGTACTCATGAAAAATCCGGTTCATTGCGGCTGGAGCGTCCTAGGAGCGTTGCATAGGCATAGACCGAAGGGCATCACCACAAACTCGTACAAACTGTACCTGGTCTGAAAGACGGTTTTGTGCTGGTCCTCAGGTATAATAGCAATCTGATGGTATCCGAACTTCAAATCTATCTTAGTAATGTACCGACATCCCTGCACTTTATCCAAGAGGTCGTCACTACAGGGTAGGGGTTCCGCCTTCTTAACGGTGATGGCATTGAGGCCCCTATAATCAATGCACATCCTTAGGGTCCCCCCTTTCTTTGGGACAAATAACACTGGTGCTCCGTAGGGGGATGTACTTGGCCGAATCCAACCCTTCTTTGTGAGGCCTTGAACTGGCGGTGAAGCTCATCTAGCTCTGCAAGAGACATCCTATAGATTCGCCCTCTAGGTACTTTGCTAATGGGGACAATTTCTATGCATGGACAATCTCCCTTTCCACCACACCCCTAGGCTCCTCGAAAAAGTCTGAATACTGTGCGACAACTGCTTCTATCTCTGGGGGTGATTTTACGGCCTCCCCTTTTTCAGAGACAAAGACTAAGTACATACGTTCCTCGCGATTATGCTTGTAGTAGTTACATAAAGATGATACGCACATGTAACCATAGTTCTCCATTAACCTGCTAGCCTTAAACTTTTGCAGCCTAACGGTCCTTCCATCTGGTAACTTGTCGATCACTACCTTCCTATCCCAATCGAACGGACGCTTAGCAACTTCGAGGTAGTACATGCCTAGCAAAATGTTGAATGGCAGCTTGTCGCTAACAAGGAATGAGATTTTATGTCTCAGTTCCCCTCCTCCATTGGAGAAGGTGCAGGCTACGTCCTTGACGTAGTCCTTTACTACCATAGAGTGTTTGTTGGCTAAGGTAAATGCTACAAATCTGCTAAGCCGCTGGACTTGGTCCCCTAAGTGTAGCCTATCCACACAAGCATGACTGATGAAGTTTCGTGTATAACCTATGTTTGCAAAGTCGCCAACCTTTCGGCCACCTACATTGTGACTACTACCACGAAATGTTCACCCTTTGGAGCTTTGTTCAACATCGCCCAGGAGTTTCTAGGGTCCTTCTCTAACCACTCAGTTTCTAACTCCTCTAAGGACTCAAACACCTCCATTGAACAAAGCATCGTTTGGTCTAGGTCTATCTGCGGGGCGATCAATGGGTCAATTGCCTTGGCCATCGTCTGAAATGGAGAAGGTAAGGTTACCACTTCAGTACAAGTAAGAGGGGCTAACACTCCTAACGGCCCGAGGTTTTCTCCTGCGAAGTGCTCGCAGAAGCACCACAAGAGTTAAAAGATCCGACTGTCACTATGGAGGATGCAACCTTCGTAGCGAGTCGCTTACTCTTTGACTTGGCCATTGTGTGCCCATACTGGCCACAATTTAGGCAAGCGCCTCGAGCAACATGGTCTCGCCATACCTCGTACTCTAGACCAAGCTTTACCCATATGGGTGTTCCTTGGTTATATTGACCCTTGGGCCGACGTGCCTTCTGTTTCCTGAACCCCTTAGCTTTTTCCTTAATAGGAGCGACTACTCCACCATCTGAAGTGTCTAAAATCCCATCTAACTCTGTCTTGTCCCTGAGGTCAGAGAAGTCGTTAGTCTCAGTCGCTTGATCATCGTGGTCAACGAACATGAGATTGCCTTCCAATTTTGGGGGAACTTCTTCCTTCTCCCATCTACCTGTCCCTGTTGGGCACTCCGAAGATTGACCTCTATGTCTAAGACCTTCTTGCTGAACGAGGCGAAGTTATGCATATCTATGAAGGCCTCGTCGACCAACTTATTTTTGACGTCTGTTGGCAGACATCGCAAATAAGTTGTGAGGACCTGCGGCTCGTACCGCACGCCAGGGACAACAATCAGTCTCTCTACGACGTCTGTCACCTCGTGAACCGTTCGACATCTCGTCGATCCTAGACTGGCTAGTGAGTCGGTGGCCTTATGAACCCCTTAAGGTTCATGCCACCTGTTGTAGACCATCCATATGAAATCCTCCAATATTCGGGCTTGTGCCCAGGCATCGAAGTTTTGATCGTAACCCTGTTGCTGTACTACTCCGTTCAACCATTTGACTGCAGACCCTTGTAGAAAGGATGCAGCGACTATAACCTCTTCCTCGGTCCTTGTGAGCTTATGCCTCACGTACATGGGCACAATCCTTACCTGGGTATCCAAGCCCTCGTCCTTCTTTTGGTCACCAGAGAAGGGTTTAGGACTCGGCAAGGGTATCTACATGGGTTGTATAACACACTGTGCCTGCTACATTGATTGTGAAACCAATGGACCAGTCTGCTGTTGCAGGGTAACTGTTGCACATGCTTGGTGTACATGCGGCTGCCCTGTAGCAGCAGCCGCTGGTTGTGGAAGTGAGAAAGGTACCGGAATCTGGCCACTGCTACCTTCTGCTAATCTGCCTGATTGGGATATGCCAAACTGTGGAGAAAACGGTTGCCCTACTGGTGGCAGCGTCATTATTGGACCTGCAACTGTAGGGGGAGCTACAGCAAACTATGGTTGCTTGACCAGAGGTCGTGGCATCCGCAGTGCGGTCAAAATCTGGTTCTGACCAGCTATCAGTGCAGCCAACATCTCTTGCTGCACCGCTTGCACTTCGGCTACACTCAATGGGGAGTTCCGAAGGGACAATGTGACAGGGTCAAGAACTGACTCATCTATAGATTCTAATTTGCCTAACTCCTCTCCCCTTGCCTCTAGTCTGGCTTTTCTAATCCTAGCTTTCTCTCTCCTTCGCTCTACTTCCTGCAGCTGGTGCTGTAACTCTGTGTGCATCCGCTTGTTGGATCTCATAATCCTCATCTGACATGGGTTGCTGCTGGCTGACCTGCAAGCCAGCTGAATGACTAACGAAAACCTGGGAGACACCCTGACTAAGACCTGACGAAGAGGCCTGAGATGAGGCCTGTGACATGGTAGAGGCGGTAGCTATGCCTGCCTCGGCGTTGGCTCTAGTGTCTGCTGCTGCTGCTGCTGCTAGTGCCCTTTCGGCGTTGGCTGCTGCTTCCCTAGCCCTCTGCAATGCTGTCCTCTCTCTGGCTTCTCTCCGCAGTCTCCTTTCCTCTCCGTGTTCTAACACTAGGAAAGTGGTCGGCCGACTGAGTGCACGTCTCCGGGCAAGCCTCCTATCGTGTTGGTCTAGTCACTCAACCTCACTGTCATCTCCACTCATGAGCTATGCGTGGCCTGAGATGAGGACTGTGACATGGTAGAGGCGTTAGCTATGCCTGCCTCGACGTTGGCTCTAGTGTCTGCTGCTGATGCTGCTGCTAGTGCCCTTTCGGCGTTGGCGGCTGCTTCCCTAGCCCTCTGCAATGCTGTCCTCTCTCTGGCTTCTCTCCGCAGTCTCCTTTCCTCTCTGTGTTCTAACACTAGGAAAGTGGTCGGCCGACTGAGTGCACGTCTCCGGGTAAGCCTCCTATCGTGTTGGCCTAGTCACTCAACCTCACTGTCATCTCCACTCATGAGCTATGCGTGGCCTACGATCTGCACTACTGTCCTCGCTGGGACCTACCGCAACATGGCAACCAACCGATTAAAATAAAATAAAATAAATATTCGGTCCAGAAAGTAGTCAAGCGGTAACAACAGATAATTTCAGATTCCTACAAACAAGTCTATTCCT